CAAGGTAGTAGAGGAGGCCACATTCCTGGGCATCATGTTTGACTGTCATCCCACATTCATACCACACGTCAAATATCTAAAGACAAAATGCTCTCGACTTGTTAAAAGTTGTTTCAAATTTCGAGTGGGAAGGGGATCAGACAACCCTCCTTCCCATGTACAGGTCATTAATACGCTTTAAACCAGATTATGGTTCCAATGTCTATTGTGGAGCCTGCAAAAAACAACTTAGAAAAAGTAGATACTCTACACCACAAAGACCTAAGGCTTCGTCTTGGAGCTTTTAGGACCATTCCTGTGGACAGTGTGTATGTGGAAGCTGATGAACCTTCCCTCGAGCAATGCATTAAAGTAGCACTGCAATACATCATTAGGTTGCTTTGTTTTATCTGTTTATAGTTTTACGCCGCAGTCAGCAATAATTAGGCTGATTGATGGCGGCAAGCATGGGTTGCTGAAGACCTACTCTACCCCGGATCTTAACGGGCCCCAAGCTATCTTCAACAGCTTGAACCTGTATTAAACAACAAAATCAACATTATGTTTAAACTACATCATATTTTTAAACTGTGTAAATAATATTTTTATGCCCAAATATGTCCTGACAAGTTTGGTTTTTAAACATGACTTTGCAATCATGACTCACTAGGGTATATATCAACATGTTCTCGACGCAAAATGGCTCAAATGATGCTGATGCGACATTACATTTTAACTAACTCACTCACAAATAAGAAGACCTAACGCATAACACTATCGGAGTAAATTTATCTTATTAAATTACCATTGTGAATTGTTTCAGTTCGACAGTATAAACCTCAAGGATAATCAGATTAATATTGAAGACCCGCCTTTGGATGAAATTGATTATATTATCCTAGAATCGCCTATTACAGAGGAAGAAATAGAAAAGGCTCATCATATATAAAATGGCAAATCTGCGGGTACAGATGAGATTTTGAATGGAATGTAAAAACGTACATCAGACCGTTTTATGCTATTTTATTTGCCTCTTTAATATGATCTACAACAATTTCCAGTTTGGACCCAGTACCGCTACATAAGAAGGAAGATACGAAGATTCCAGACAAGGGGAATTTCATTATAAGTGTTATAAGCGAAATATACTCAACAACAAAAGTTTCTGTGACACCAATATTGTAGTGTATTTTTCAAACAAGTAAAGTTTGGTTTCCAATATTATAGTACATGTATGGAATCAAGTCACAAAAAACAACTGCTACAGAAAAGCATGCATTCCATGCAAAAGTTGACTTTTATGCAAGCCCCATGCATTTCACTACCCAAGAATGGGTATAAAAAGATGTGCGTTAACGGGATTCAATATGCATTGTTTAGCATCGTGCTGACAACAACCACTCAGAAAAGCAATAATATTACGCAATTATTTAACATTACGAAATGCCACGCCTGTCCGAAAATGAGCGTCTGCGAGCCACTGGTATGCTTGAAGCAGGATCGAGTCAACGTGATGATGCAAGACAATTTAACGTCCAAAGAAACGCCATTTGGTGTTTATGGCAACGTTGGCAACAGACGAATGCAGTCAGAGACCATCCTTGGTGTGGCAGGCCACGCGTAACCAATAATCGACAAGACAACTGGATTCGAACAACACACCTACGAAATCGATTCCAGCCAGCAACAGTGACTGCAAGAAGCATCCCTGGCTTTCGACGAATATCTTCACAAACCGTACGTCGTCGCCTCATATGTGCAGGGATTGTCGCCAGAAGACCCGCCAGACGTCCCATTTTGACAGGAAACCACCGTCAAGCACGTCTGCAGTGGTGCAGACATGCAATTGGGAGAAGATCTATTCACCGACGAGTCTCGTTTTCACCTCAGCCACAGCGATGGGCGGATTCGAGTGTACCGACGTCGAGGTGAACGTTCCGTCAATCATTGTGTCATGGAAGAAGATCGGTTCAGGTGCGGCAGCGTTATAGTATTGGATGGGATCACAGCAAGACAGAGGACCCGTTTGATAGTGGTAGAGGGAAATCTCAATGGACAGCGCTACCGCGACGAGATCATCGACCCTGTTGTTCTACCGTTTTATCGGCCATTGCTCGACTTGTTCAGCATTCCCTTCAACAAAACAACGTGAATGTCATCCCCTGGCCGGCTCGCTCCCCTGATCTCTCACCAATCGAGCACATGTGGGATGAGATGGATCGGCGCCTTCGACGTCAATCACGTGTTCCAGACACTCCAGGAACTTAGAAACATGCTCCAGCAGATATGCACAGATATCCCACAGGACTTTGTGCGACACCTGGTCCATTCCATGAGGATGTGTTGCTTGCATCGCAACAAGAGGTGGACACACGCTATTGATTTTTAAATTGACATTTTGGCATGTTCAGGTTTTTTTATGAAGTCACGCATGTTCTTAAGTCAGTATGGCAAATTAAACCATTTGAACATTTACAGGGGTCTTTTATCTGTTGCAAACCGAAATTGTTTCAGATTTGGTAAAAAACATAACTTTGTATTAAATCTTATTCAACGTCACAGGAACTTTTGTTGTTCAGTATATATACGGGTGTTCCTAATACCAGGCTTTCCAATTGGGCAAAACTAAAGGACTAAGTACCAGAGTCGCAGGCAGGTTTCTGATCTGGGTATTCAACCACCGATCATATTTTTACTTTACACTCTATTATAGAAAAGTGTTTGATTATAAAGGGGATAAAACTATATGTTGCTTTTATAGACTTTAAGAAAGCATTCGACTATGTCAAAAGAAATAAACGATGGTACTATTTGCAATGTAATGGCCTGGGTTGAAAAATGTTATCAGCCCTAAAAAACATTTACTCTTCTGTTAAATCTTGTGTTAGACTAACTTCCTCATGTACCGATTTCTTTGACTGCCTTAGTTAGCAGTTATAAGTACTTAGGTGTAATATTTTCTTCAACTTTCAAGATGACAAAGTGTATTGTTGATCTAGCAAATCGTGGAAAACGGGCTTTGATTGAAATAAATATAAATTTGAATATAATAGTATATTTTAAAATATTTGATACACGTGTATTACCAATACTTTTATATTTAAGATGTAATTTTTTACCTTTACGACAGAACGAGGGTAGATGGCAATCTATTGATTCATGTTTACGTATGTGTCCTGTTTGCAATATGTCTTAAAGATGAATATTATTTCGTATTGATCTGTAAACATTATACTGAACTGCGTAAAGTTTATTTGCCAGAATGTTATTGGAAATGTCCAACTATATATAAATTCAAAAGTTTATTGTGTACAACTCGAGATGAGTTATTAAAACGTCTGCAATATTATGTATATTATGCATACAAAAAAAGTCATGAAGTCGTAAAAATCCATGTAATGTGCTTCACATTGTATTATTGGGATTGCATTTCTTGTATATGGACCAAAGGCCTACACACAAATAAACTAATTTTGCTTTTGACTGTACCCAGTAAAATGTATATTTATGTGTAAAACGTCAACCTTTATATTTTATAAATGGATAATTGAAAATTATATTGATGTCACCAGGTGTTCCCTCTGTTGCAAGGTCGCTGTGTAGAGTTGCGTCTCTTGGGCACGCCGAAACCTATGATTGTGGGTTCGAATCCCGGTTCACCCCGATTATGTTTCTAGGTTTGTCAGCACCATACCCGTGCTCGTGGGTTTCACCGAAGTGGTAAACGTCTGAGACCTGCATCACTTCGGGCTTTACTCCCACATTAAGCTGACACGCCGTGATATAACTGGAATACTGTTAAAAGCGGCGTTAAACCCAACTCACTCACTCACACACTCTCTCTGTTGCAAGGTTATTAAAGTGGACAAAACCCTTGACGTAATCATAAGCTATCTCTGCCAAATTTAAAATGGCAATGAAAAGAATACCCAACCTAGATTATCCAGCGAAACAGATTCAAAAGCAGTCATTTATAAGATTCCGACTTTATTATAAGCACGCGTTTTTAAAAGTCCACTGATTTACCCACATGAACTACAAACAAAGGAGACCAGTGAGACCTACTCATCTGTTTCATATTTAGATCTATGCATAAATATTCACAGTGACACAACACTCTCCACAAGACTGTATGACAAGAGAGATGACGTCAACTTTCTAATAGTCAAAAACTTTCCCTTTATATATCGAACAATATTCTGGCCAGTCCAGTTTTGGCATTCTAAGTCTGTTTAGAGTGAGTTTTAGAGTGAGTGAGTGAGTGAATGAGTGAGTGAGTTTGGTTTAACGCCGCTTTTAACAGTTTTCCAGTTATATCACGGCGTGTCAGCTTAATGTGGGAGGAAAGCCCGAAGTGATGCAGGTCCTTGCGTATTGTACACTTCTTGGCCAAATTCCATAGTTTTGATTTTGCAAATACAAGCGAAAATTCCGATTCTTATGCATAAAGAATCCGATCAGCAGAAAGGGGAGCGCATTTGGTGCCCTTGGGTTCGCCTACTTCTTCCTAAATGTCCTATCCTTAAATTTCAAATACACGTAGATGTTATCAAGCCCTGTTATTAACCTGCAGTCCGCCAACTGAAATAAACCTCAGACCCGTGAAGATCCGGGGTAGAATAGGCCTTCAGCAACCCATACTTGCCGTAAAAGGCGACTATGCTTGTCGTAAGAGGCGACTAACGGGATCGGGTGGTCAGGCTCGCTGACTTGGTTGATGCATGTCATCGTAATTATCCCATTTGCGTCGATCGATGATCATGATATTAATCACTGGATTGTCAGGTCCAGACTCGATATTTTACAGACCGCCGTCATATAGCTGGAAAACTGCTGAGTGCGGCGTTAAACAACCAACTAACCTACCAATTGCGTGGATCGATGTTCATGATATCAATCACAGGATTGTCTGGTCCAGACTCGATTATTTACAGACCGCCGTCATATAGCTGGAAAACTGCTGAGTGCGGCGTTAAACAACCAACCAACCAACCAACCAACCAACCAGCCAACCAACCTACCTATGGGCAGCGTGTAGTAGACGGACCCAGCATCTGTTGTCCGCGGATCTGTAGGGAAAAGTTGGACAGCATGGGCAGTACATGTGTCAGTGTCAGTGTTGTAGAACACGGATACACATTTCTTGTCACGTTTACAGTCGCTGGTACAACCAAGGAGAGAACCCGTATCTGTTCGCGTCCACAGAGATAAGTCCGACACAAGACCCCCGTTCAAAGTTTCCTCTGGGTACATGTATGTCATGTCATCACAACCAATGCAATATCGAAGACGGAGCAGAGCGAGCAAAGTGTATGCTAAATATATGTAGCTTAATTCCATTTGGAACTTAGGAGAGTTTGATGTCCACATTAAGGGGCATCGATTTCCAGATTTAACCAAACACGGTGTCCGCAGACTGAAAGTAGTTCACCTTCGACGAAGTTACATGGTACAAAGAACGTCAAATGCAAGAAAGGCGATTAATATAATTCAAACGGTATCGTGTGTCATCACAGTTGCTATGGCGCTTGAAATGTTTCCTTCAAGACATATCGATCCCTTCTGTGAAATATCTGTTGTCAGGCGGTGTGCCAAAATCGATCTCGTTCATTCTTGCATGTCTTTGTGTCAAGGAAAATAATGATGATCTCGGCAACAAAAGCTGAGTTAAATGGTCGGACTGACAATTAACGTTTACAAGTGTTTGGCGTGAGACATAATATTAATATGTTCAGCTTAAGGAGCGGTAGGAACTACCGAGCTTATACGAGTGATCTGTCAGGTCATGATAATACACACATTTCATTGGTTAATGCGTAAACGGGTGACGTCATGTAAACGTCACCCACCCACGTGGACCGTTTGACAACAAGGACGTAAGTTTTAATGGTAATAAATATCTATCAAACGATTCCAAGACTTTTCAACAAACGCGTAGGTCTTTGGTTTCAAAACCTACCTGCCATGTCGTCTTCACATCTTCATAAAATGATACCTCGGAATGTCCACGATTTATCCAACGCAGTCCAACACAGAAATTATAGATGTTCTCGTTCTAAGCTATATGTGTGTGCAGTGTGTGTGTGTGTGTGTGTGTGTGTGTGAGTTGGGTTTAACGCTGCTTTTAACAGTATTCCAGTCATATCGCGGCGTGTCAGCTTAATGTGGGAGGAAAGCCCGAAGTGATGCAGGTCTCAGACGTTTACCACTTCGGTGAAACCCACGAGCACGGGTATGGTGCTGACAAACCTAGAAACATAATCGGGGCCAACTGGGATTCGAACCCACAATCATAGGTTTCTGGCGTGCCCAAGGGACGCAACTCTGCACGGCGAATCGCGGCGCCTTAGACGACTGGGCCACCCGTGCCCCCGAATATGAGCAGTGTAATTGAACAAAAAACATAATATGTGTTACGGCACCAATCGTTATCCTGTGGTGTACGGTATATCTGCAGTTTATGAATAGCTTTTCTCACAATATATACGGCAATCGGTGATTTCAACAGTGTTTTTCTTCGTTGTGTTCGTCTTGCCTCATCTGGAATCTGGATGACAACGATCGTGTAAAAAACCCTGGTAATGGTCAAAAATGTTTTCAATGTAGTTTTTTTTGTCGTTTCCGTGACATTTTTTCATTGCCCAGTAGCAATGTATTGTGGCAAAGTCACACTTGTCCGATGAAGCTCCTCATGCCGAAGTCACTCGATCCGTGAAACTTGGCGGGTCCCAGTGACCCAGATCCCTGTTGATTGGCATGCCAAGTGTCATTTGCATAAGGCCATCCATATGTTTTGTGTGTACGTGTTTCTCCCCTCAAGCCTAAACTAACCAGAGAGCAGGCGGACGAAATAAAATATATTACTTGTCAAATTTTTAATAAACAACCGAACAAAGATAAAGTTGACCTGGTTCTTTTATGACGGTGCAATTGTAGATCTAGTAGTATTTCTTTTATTAGATCGGTGCGCAATTTTCCACAGCGGCAGCAAAATTAAGACACGAAAACATTATATTATTTCACGTCGGAATGAAAATAAAAATATTAAAATACGGACAGCCTCACAGACTTCGAAACGATGTTCAATTAATATTTGTTCACATTAATTCTGGACCCGTGAAGATTCTGGCGTAGAATAGGTCTTCAGCAACCCATACTTGTCGTAAAAGGCGACTAACGGGATCGGGTGGTCAGGCTTGCTGACTTGGTTGATACATGTCATCGATCCCAATTGCGTGGATCGATGTTCATGATATTAATCACTGGATTGTCTGGTCCAGACTCGATTATTTACAGACCGCCGTCATATAGCTGGAATATTTCTGATTGCGGTGTTAAACAACAAACCAACCAATCAACCAACACATTAATTCTGTCATGTGCGAGAAAATGGATTTCAACATTATTTTCATCAAGCTTATTCAGGTCGCTGGCTGCACAGATCATCCTCTCTTGTAAACTACTTCGGCATGAACACATGTTTTGTCTCGAAGCTCAAAGCAACAATGTTTCTCTAAGATACATTTTTATCCCCATCCATGACGTGCATCTGTCATAATGTGCCTCAAAAATCTTCCTGGTCAGTTGAATTCAACAATGTAATACACACGGCCTCAATCACGGCGTCATCACAAGATTCCTTCCAAATACCCACCACGTGATCAGGGTTACGAGTGAGTGAGTGAGTATGGTTTTACGCCGCTTTTAGCAATATTCCAGCAATATCATGGCGGGGGACACCAGAAATTGGCTTCACACATTGTACCCATGTCGGGAATGGAACCCGGGTTTTCGGCGTGACGAGCGAACGTTTTAACCACTAGGCTATCCGACCGCCCCTGATCAGGGTTACGACCTTGGGATGAATTAATAAATTAATTTGCACTTTTAGAAAAGATTTTTTGTGTGAATACTATAATTAAAACATATCCTGTACATGGTACTATTGGATTGCACTGCGGATTTCTTTTATTACTTTCTAAAACTTTTTGTTTTCCCCTTTCTGACCACGCGATCTCCTAGCAACCACGCCCCATGAGCGCATCGAGTTGCTGCTTACAACTGTCAGGAACTTTGCAATAAGCCATTTCATCGATTACGTCACAGTTTATGTGCACATACGCGTCACGTGATACACAATAATATTTCGAGGGACAAACATTGCAGTTTTTCGCGCGCCTCTATTTGACAGTTGTTTTGACGTTTACCCGCATCCGTATTAACATGGCTTCTACATCGCCTTTGTTTAACGTGTCTCTGCTGCCTGAAGATGTCCCTGGAGCTCAGTTTATTTATCCAGACGTCGACAGACATTCAGTTGTTCAGCTGAAACGGTGGTTGGAGTGCCGAGGCCTGCCGATGACAGGAAGGAAGACCGAACTCGTCGAAAGGTAAGTCGTCTTATTTATTGGTTTTCGTTAAAAATAGTATATGTAAGTTATGAGAATCTATGAAATATATATCTTGGTAAAGGTATCGTGCCGTGATTGTTATCACAATGGTATTACGGTACTCTGATGATTAACCCGATGTGCATATAATTTACGAGACAGACGTCATATCAAAATCCAAACCGGAAGTGATTTCCGTAATATTTGTTTATGCTAATAACGGATAATACTGAAATACATTTGTGTGTTTCAACTCCATAAATGTATGTGGGAATAATAGAAATCTGTCGTATTCGTTATCAGCATGACATTTGCCTGGATGAGAGAATTCGGGCACTAAACGTTCGTCTGAAAAAGGGCAATAACTGTTCCAGTTTTCACCATTTCATGGACACTTAGGCCTAATGCGTCCATGACCCTTCTAATCTAACAGCTTGGGCTATAATCCGGTAATTACTATATTATTTTTATTATACTCACATGATGACCACAACCTGGTCTGGCAGCCCCAATACTATATGTACCTCTGTCAATGATTCTGTTTACACATGCAAACGTTTTTGTTATTATTACTATTATTTTCCAGATTTTTTAAGGCATAAATTATCCCACACAACGAAAATTTCCACGCGAAAATATATAATTTATAGCCATTTTCATCTCTATGTAGTGTTTTTCTTCACACACTTGGGCTATGTGAACATAAGTATACAATTAATTTATTTACTTATATGCATAATTATTACTTCAAAATGACAACTGGTTCAGTATATGACACCATTGCTTCAGGTCACGAGTAAGAGCATTTCGGCATTTTCGAAATAAAACGGGTACCTAACCCTAATGATCGTAAAGGGGTGATTGATCTTGTCAGTATTCTTCATGAAATTGCTATTTAAAAAAAGAAAGTATGTATATTACTATACTCTGCAAAAAACTTGATCCTATTATCATGATTACCCAATAACAATGATTAAAGTGATTGGTATGAGTATGAGTATGATTTTACGCCGCTTTTAGCAATATTCCAGCAATATTACGGTGGGGGACACCAGAAATGGGCTTCACACATTGTACCCATGTCGGGAATCGAACCCGTGTCTTCGGCGTGATGAGCGAACGCTTTAACCACTGGGCTACCCGACTGCCCCTTAAAGTGATTGGACTAATATTACTAGTAATAATATAGATGGAAAGTAATCATGCAATCATTTACTAGTAAGCTCAGGGGTTGGAAACTGAATTCATCTACTCATTAATCAATATCTGAAATTGTAACATAACTGATGTTTATCCATTGTTTTCACACAGATGTCAAGAGTGCATCACAGGTCAGCAGAACACGAACATTGCCATTTCCATTGATAATGGGAAATGGTACCAAATAAAGGTTCAGGATGTTTTGGCATCTCTTAACCATGTTAACAGGTAACTATGAGGTTTCAATTCCAGATTTTATCTTTGACCAAATGCAAAGACTGCGTAAGAATGGGTTGAAATATTATTGATGCATTTCCATTTCTGGATTGAAATGGCATTGAATTCTGTTAACTTTTGTCAAATGGATTTAATATTGTGAACAACATTTGTAATGGAACATCATTTAAAAAGTACCCAAAAAGAAAATGTAAGGGAATTTCCATTACTGTTCACAGCATATTTATTCTGAGAAAATTATATTAATCACTTAAATACATTTGTAATTGAATTAATCAACTCATAAAAGAATTTGTTACAGGAATCCGAAAATATTTTTCCATCAGGTTGACATAAAAATGTTCGTAATATTTTAATTTTCAAAAGCTTCATGTCTTAATATTGGCGTTGTGAAAACAATATCCTTTGGGTCTTCTGTCATGAATTCCCAGGAACCCACCCCCACCCCACCCGCAAATTAAATCAAATAATTGGTCCCTTAAGAAAGATAATAGTTGCATCACATATATGTGATTACAATGTCACATAGCTCGGTTTTAAGGAAGTTGATTATACTTGCACCAGGTGCATGTTGACATGAAAACCCAGTTGCAACAAACAAAATCAGCTTGTCCCCTGGTCCAATAAATATATCAAAGTTGAAACAGGCTGGTCTGCTGCCCGTGTCTTGTTTATTTTTGGATTATTGCTGTGAAACGTAATAGGAACATTTGCACACAATCTAGAAGTACCCACAATGTGACAATGTCAAGCCCACGAAATCATGACAAATTACAAATAACACAGATTAGTTATGTAGTATGGTAAATAAACTGTACAGGTATTGAATGTGATCCAAGATTGATGTGTGGATACACAAGGGTTAGACTTATAGACACACAAATTTGGAATTTTACATGCATTTAGTGCATTTTGACATCAATATTAGGTTGCATGTTACAATAATATGTTGCACTGGTGCATGAATTATATAGCCAAATAGATACATGTGTCATGATTGTGTATTGCGCTATTTTCTCTTTGTTTTACAGTTTAAGTCCGTGTTCGGCTGTGAGGCAACCTCCCACACCACCTATCACTGGATGGAAGGCCTTCCCTTCTGGCAACATCCCACCAACCTTCTCATATGGCGATATATACCAGTATATCATTGCATCAGCCAGACTACAGCCTCTACCACAAGTCACTCCTATCAATGACAGTGATGATGATGATCAGGACAACACCTTCAGCACTGCAAAGCCAATGAAGAAGGGACGAGCTTTTTTTAAGAGTGGCCACATACAAAATATTCAAACATGTTCTAAAAATGAGTATTATTATCTTAAATGTGAATGTCTTCCATCATACAGACTAGGTATGATGTACCATGTACATGTTACTCTTGATAATTTTGCAGTCATCCAGGATGCATCATGTGATTGTGTAGGTTCAGCCACTGGACGTTGTAGCCACATTGCAGGATTGTTGTTTGCATTAGAGGATTATACTGTCAACTTTGGCTATACAGCACCCTCATGTACTTCTTTCTCTTGTTCCTGGAATAAACCCCGAAACAAAACTAGAAACCCACAACCTGCCCACACTTTGCAGTACAGCAATAAGAGAGCTCCTAACCGTGTTATTGATCATGACCCATGTCCTGTTGTAGATCAGTCTTACAGAGCTGACAGTAGTTTTGCAACTGCTTTCATTTCTACTGCACTTGCCTTGGATACAAATACTTCATGGCAGAGTATCCTAGAAATTACTTATGATGATTATGAATTGTCTAATGACTTGAAGTTATATCTCATGGATAAATGTGATGTTTTCATTGAAAATGTGAAAGAAAGTATTTCAGAGTATGGAGTTGGCCCTTGTGAAGTACCTGGTACGGTGGGTCAAGCAATTTCTGATCAGTGGCATAATGCCAGGTGGTACAGAGTGACAGCATCTATTTGTAAAGACTGTTCTATGGTATCCACAGATCGAGGTAGATATCGCTTGTATGGGGTATTGATTGTTTTAATACTGTTGACATGAGGTATGGATCACATAATGAAAAAAAAGCCTTTGAAGACTATTCATTAAAATATGTAGAAACATTTACCTGCCTTGCAAGTGGTTTCTGGATAAATTCGAAGTATCCTGAACTAGGATGTAGCCCTGATGGCATCTTACAGTCTCTCAGTACAGATGTGGCTGATGGTGTTTTAGAAATTAAGTGCCCATCAGTACTTGAAAACATTAATCCAACTGAGGCAAAAGAAAAACTTACAAAGAAGCAATACTATTCATTTTGCAGCACTTTCGAAAATGGCAGACTGAAATTGAAAAGGAATCATAAATATTATTTCCAATGTCAAATGCAAATGGCCATCTGTGAAAAATCTTTTTGTGACTTTGTAATATGGTCGCCTGAGGGTGTCAGTAGAAAGAATACCCTTCAATAAATTATTTTGGGAACAGACATACCGCCTCTTGAAAATATTTTACAAAAATATTCTAGTTCCTGAGATATTTGAAATGAGAGTACCAAGAAAGCTACTTCCCTTTGATCTGTCCAAGTAAGCATAACAAACATGTAACATGAGTGAATGTCCATAAAAAACAAGACACAGAAGTTAATGGTCAGTGTGTTACATTTATTCACTTCAACATTACTTTGATCATAGAACTGAATCACATGATGTATTATTTCGAAATTTTACTGCATCTGCCGTCTTGTTTATTTGACTTATTGACTTTTGCCATTGACTTTTTACATTTCTTGGTGTGAATGTTGTCCAAACTGCACGAAATTGCTTAAAATGCAATCAAATGTTTAAAAATTTTCTGGGGGGGGGGGGGGGGAATGCCCCCAGACCCCCTAGAATTTTCCTCTTTTGGGAAAACCTGCTCACATCCCTGTGTATAATTCAGCTTTTTTTTAATACACTGTACAGTGTATCCCTGTGAGGTTGTCATGATTATTAGTACAATATACTTCATGTGTAAACTTGACATTATACTAGGTGAGCTCCATATCGTACCACACTTATGGTGAATATTTTTCTTGTGCTGCATTCATAAAGAAAGTGAAACACCTTTGCTCCCAGTTAGTATGGTGAGGGCTAGTACTTGTTCTCATTATTCAAGCTAGTAAACATTTCAACATTTTTTCACTTCTAATTGTACATATGCAATGTGAGAATGATGAAAGTTAATAACTAGTATGCATGGTGTACAGCTTTAGCAAAGCAACTAACTGTATTCAAGTTATGTTCTTACGAATACATTTGATAACTAAAAAACACCAATTTTAGATTTCTGCAGTGTTTATTTGCCTCGATTTACAACCATGTAAATTACCAAAAATGTGAAGTACTGTCATTTGTAATTATTTTTATACTTCATGGACTAAGTATTTCACAAATGTGGATACAAGTTAACTTTGATCAACACAGCATGAAGAGATTTTGTCGCATAACTACTTACTGATGCAAGTACATGTACTGTCATAAATCGTACATATGTAACGAAGATTCAAAATTGCATGTGGTACCTTCAGAATCAGGAAGGAGAAAAGGACACATTTGAGTTTAAAATACATAATATGTAATAGAAACAATCATATCATGAAAACAAAACCAGTAATGACTTCCTGAAACATTTATTGTTTTCAAGGAACAAGAAGTACTAAGTTGACACAATCAGAACATATTTTTCATTGTTTAGAGTTTAACAAACAATTATGGCGGTGACAAAATGGTTGGGCTGAAAGGCATAAAAATGTTTTGCATATCTACAGCGGTAATGTTATTAATATTTTTCATTATTACTATTTTCAAAGTAATAGTTACATTGTTGGAATATTATTTTATCATAAACTAGATCAGTGGAGACATGCAGATACTGTTACAATTGAAACAATGGTTGTGAGTGTGTATTTTTTTTAATATAACCACGAATCATACTTCTCGCTGAGTGATACCTCCGTAATGTTTACTCTTGTAGTCTTGACATGTCAATTATTCACGCTGTACAAAAGTGTGCATACCTCCTATACGGAGACTGGGTCAATGTTTCAGGCCTGTTCCCAGGACAGACATATCAATTTGTACAACAATACCATGTTCAAATGATCATTCCAATACATGCTGCAGTTGTTGGGAAAAATACCTTGATAAACAGTGAAATAATTGTAATACCTTGTATTCTAATAACAGTTATGACGATACATCTCACCTTCAGGGACATGTAATAACACAGGTGAAGTACTACAGCCAACAATGCTGTTAAATATTAAAGTGGTTCAAAGCTCATATGATGATGGCTGCATGTCTTTGAAGAAAGTTTAGCATGATTCCAAAAACGATTTTCTGGGATAATATGTATGAACATTATGACACAGAACAGATCACAATTGTGAATGATTCAAACATCTACATTCACAAAAATAAAACTGATTAACTAATTAGTAGCTATTTGATAAGGACGCAGTGAAAACTGAAACAGACATGAGTCTAAAATTGTTCACCAGCGCCAGCCGTGGACATATACATGAGGTGTCAATAAAAATTTGACGCGCAATATTACTCTTTGTTATTATTTCTTGATGCAGGTAGTGACAAGTCATGATTGATCACCGATATATGGCATCGCAAATGGAACCTGGCGATAGATGCTGAGTGATGACTTGGTTCATGATGTACATGTTTTAGTGCGCTTTTTATTGTAAAAAAAAAGTAGTATTTATGAGATATTGAAAAATAATCAGCCGATAACGACAACTACTCGGACTAGAATTATCGTACCTCCTATCACATGTATTATAAATTCAATCATGGTAATGGGCTAATGCCCTATTTAACAAGTGGTGGCTGATAGTTGGAAAGCATTCCTATAACAAAAACTATCTGGGACGCTAAGTGTTTCATTGAAAGAGGAATAACTGTGTTTAATATACGATACTCCCTCAACCTTCCCACTGATCTCTCCACATGTATTCTTGTTCTAGCAATAGATCGAGTCAAGATATCTTCTTGAGGAGTCAGCTTGTCCCTTTTGCCTAGAAATGGAGGAATATTCAAATGTGCTCTACGGCTCATGAGGAGATCTTTGATATTGAAGCCTCTATCGGCTAAGATCAAGTCACCGGGGTTAATTTTTTCCAGAAAGCCTGATTTCCTGATAATATCTCTGTCTGATATGCTACCTTCATATGCATCAGACAAAAATGTAACAGCACCAGTTGGAGAAATTCCAAGTAAAACTTTCAAGGTGTTGTGAGTTTTGTACTGAGAGTACATGTTACCTTGCTCACCATAATCACTTGGTCGCTCAGAAAACACTTCGAAACAATCAACAATAACTCTGATGTTTTTGAAGCTTTTAAACACAGATGGCAATGTTTTCCTGATAAGATGTCTAGAAGGAAAGATGTGATCTTTCAAAGTAATAAATTTCATGTACAGAAACTGAATCCAAGTGGTAATGATACAGGAAACAGAACCGACACTGATGTTATATCTATAGGATAAATCTTTTGTTGGAAAGTTTCTCCTTAATCTGACAAGTGTCAAAACAAGCTGGTCTTCGATTGATAAAACCCGGCACTTGCCAGGTTTACTGGAACTTATCTTATTTCCACGCCAGTAACAGATGTCATTTACACTGTCACCAAGGGAAGCAAAAAGATGATTAAAATGAACAGTTTTCATGCCAGTATAGTACTTGAATTTCTTCTTATTAGATACCAAATTATTAAATAGTAAATCACAGCTTTTGTTGTCAAGATCCCTGCTTATTTCACAATCTGAATCAGGGACTTGTGCTGTCATCTTTTCATAAATTTTAGATACCAGAATGCTGGAACACACAAACTCAGTCTGATTGGACTCATGCTTCGTTGTTGGCATTGCTTGGCAGGCAGCATCACTGGACCTGAGCTCAGTCAAGGTAGCCTCTTCTATGTCAGCACCAGTAGCACAGACATTCTGTTCCTGTTGACATAAAAATTAACTAATGATACATAATGTTTGATCATTAACATCTAAGGCATGGTTAGGAAATTGTTGTATCTTAGTGGCAATGTCATGGTTGAAGTAAGTTCCTGGTGCCTGAGTGAGTATGGCTTTACACCGCTTTTAGAAATACTCCAGCAATATCACGACAGGGGACACAAGAAATGGGCTTCACACATTGTACTCATGTGGGGAATCGAGACCATTCTTTGGCATGGCGAGTGAACACTTTAACCACTAGGCTACCCCACCGCCCCTCCTGTTGCCTTGAGGTCATACTTGTAAAATCTATTATTTCAACAATACCATAATACCACCTATTACAATGATTGCATCAGCTGCTATTAATAAGATAAACAAATGGTGAACAAACACACAACGTGCTTAAATGCTTAATGCATCAATGAAAACAGTGTTATCAATTTCAATGAAAATGAAAAGGGCAGGGAATAACTTTTAAATTACAACTGCTTATTATCTAGCCATGGTGAAATGACATTAATGAGTCTAACCCTTTAAGGTTAGGTGTAAGGCGACATTTTCATAAACAAGTTATCTGCTGAAGCTAACGCTGACTTGCAACTATGTCTATATTCAAAGAAAATATTCCTTTAGGATAACATTATTAATGGTTTACATTCCAAAATTGCATACCATAATTTTTTTTACTTAAACAAAATATGGATCTAATATTTACCATTGTTTACACGGTTAAATATGATTGCAGAGCCCATTTTACATCTGATTACAGGCTTAAATAAAAAAAACTTTACAAATGTAATACATTTATGGCAATACAAAATTTGGTCCATACCAATTCAGTATTGACTGTTTCCTGCCACTCCAGGTGCTTTCTAGAGGTGTATGGGTGGTCAGCTGCACACACTGCAAGTAAAGATAGGCCATCACCTGCTGTAGAAGTGGGCTCCAACCTGGATACCTTACATGGAAGGGGACATCTCTCCACAGGGCTCTTTCTTTTCTTAGAAAATTTCACCACCTAGAAAAAAAATAATATATGGACTGCACAAATCTGCCACTATGTTTGGAACATGGGCCTAGAATCTACTTATTGCTCACATGGTTGCTTTAATCAATTTTCCATGACATTTGAACCCAAATTAATGTTGTCATAATTCCTAATTAAATAAATCTAAATCAGTTGTTAAATCTGAAAACTGTTCACCAAATTGACAAAATGTGGTATGACATATCCAGTAAACACTTTGAACATCGAACATTAATTTGACCTTCTAGGCCTAGTCTACCTATGGTGGTATCGACATAGATCTAGATCTATGTGTCTGACGTTATAATGAAAAAAATACACAAATAATAACACGTACCTGATCAAATGTATATGTTGCCGGGATAGGATCGGGATGTTCAAGTGAAGGACCATTCCCGCCGATAAAGTGCTTTGAACATATGTAGGTGTACTTGTTGACCTTGTCCGTCGTAAAGCCCTCTCGACGACAGGCGCGAACCCACCTTGTACACTTCTCAGGCTGCTTGTGAAACTTAGGAAACAAAATAAAATGGATCCCTGCCATGTCAGGCCTATCCGTATAGCGGTTGTCACTTCGGCAGATCCCATACGCACAGTGTTTAGCTGGCATCGTGTTAAAATATCCGAAACCGCGCTACGATTCTAACAAGCGGAAGAGGGACAAAATGGCAATGTTTGTCCCTCGTTTTTCGCGCATGCGCGAACCCAAAATAGAGCGGAAGTATCTAAATTTCTATTTTTAGTAGTTTGGCCTTGTTGATGAAATGGCTTATTTCGCTTGTCTTCAATATGAGCAACATAACATTTACATGTATATCCTAATTTGACGAAGAGTTGTTCGAGATGATCAGGGAGTCTTTGGTCATTTCGATTATGACATTGGTGACTTTCTCGTGGAGAAAGTTCCAATTCAAGATGACATCATTCCGATTCACAACTCGAATCGACAAGATGGCGCCTCTCTTCCCGCCCTTGCAAGTGCAACAGAAACTTTGACAAATTCAGTGACGATTCTTGGGAGTAGTGAATCAGTGTCACAGCTAGATTTCATTGTGGAACCAGATGAAGCCGAATATATATGTTCACACATCTTTTGTCAACCATGCGTGACACGACACAGGCAATCGCAGTTAGGGAATGGTGCGGCAACAATGTTGCAGAAATTCGTCGATTCGAACACATTGCTACTGGATTAGCTGAATAAACGAAGTGTTTGGAGAGATCGCAGATACTTGGACTTGAAGAAACGGATATTAAACGTTTCAGTAGATGAAGGATTGGTGTGGACAAAACAGGAAAGGGATCCCAGATTGTATTTTAACACTTGTGCACGAAGTGTATCCAAATACCCCGAACAAAAAATACATTGGACAAGTGTGGATCTAATGATCAAATTCAATTTTGTGTGTGAAAATTCTGTGAAAGAAAAGGAAATTCATAATTAAAGTTGTCTTGGAATATGTGTATTGGAGTTTTCGTTTATCGTAAGTACAATATTATCTGGATACGCCTTATGTAGGTCAAAACATCAAGTATATTTCGTTACTTATTTACCAGTTGCTTATGTGCATTGTTATGTTGATACACGTGACATATTCATCTATTATAGTCAAGCTGAGAAATATTGGCGCAACTTCTGGCGCTTCAAATTAGGCCCCTTCCTTAACACTAATTGAAAAATCTGTGTAATAATTTAAGTTTTATAAATATAATCTGATTATTGTGTGGCACAGATCTAACTGTTGAATGCAAATGACCAAAACTAAACAAATATCTGTAATTTTCGGATTGAACTGAAAGATTAGTGTCGTCAATTTCGTATTTAAGTATCGTTACTGTTACATTAACCGAAACCGATGTTCTGCTGCTGTTCTGCCGTAAAAATATACCACACAATGCACTTTGACCACAAATACATTGAATGTCACATGTACACATGACCATGTGCTTTGCTATTTATAGCGCAACCGTACATAAGCTCCGCCCACTGTGATTGATGCAGACGCCAAACACGATCGATTCGATTTTTTATGATAAAACTACAGAAAATGTATTGACTTATATCTAGATATGGAGCCATTTGTTGTATCCATGGTTTGTCATTCAAGTTGATATGAAGTTTGACGGTCAATGGTGATCTTATTCCCGTATGGTTTTCAAAAAGCTTCTCCCGACACTCGGTTGTGTTTACATTGTCAGTCATTGTTCGAAACTGAAACACCGCCACCTTGCGGGCTATTTATAGTCAGGCTGGGGCTTTAAGGATATGTCTTAAAGATAGATCTAAGTTGTTTCTCTCAACCAAGCATGAGGACTTCACACCAACTCTCAGAAGCTATAAAAATCCGCCGTCACAAACCTTTGATCAACAGAGATCAAGGGTATTACGTCTGCCAATGAAGATCTTATCAAGCAATTGACTAATTTTATTAGTTGGTTTGTTTGTTTGTTGTTTTACGTCGCAATATTCCAGCTATATGACAGCGGTCTGTAAATATTTGAGTCTGGACCAGACAATAGAGTGATTAATATCATGAGCATCGGTCCACGCAATTGGGATCAATGACTTGCTTCAACCGGGTCGCCTCTTACGACAAGCATAGTCGCCTTTTACGGCAAGCATAGTCGCCTTATTTTTATGTGTATGCAGTCAGCTTGTCACAACTGTTTAGTCATTTTATCCTTATCCTTACTGTACATCTGGCATCATTACACGTGTGCTTCATTACCCGTGTGCTTCATTACCTGTGTGCTTCATTACCTGTGTACTATTTATTATTCTTACTGTACATTTGGCTCCATCCTATTATCTGTATGCTACTTGTTATCTATTACCTGTTGGTGCCAATGTTAATATGCTGCTTATCACAACATACCATGCATATACACCTCTCATCACTAATTTATCAACAGCAATATAATGAATTACGAAGCACGTATGATACTCATAAATCTATGTTTACAGATGGATCCAAGGATGGTGACGCTGTTGCCAGCGCCATCGTCATTGGATCCAGAACTATCTCAACCAGATTACCAGATAAATCTTTCTTGCATTCAAGCTATTAAAAACATGTCCTCCACACATCCACTTTTAATAGAAATTTTTGAATTGTTTAATGATCTTGCTACTGGCCAATACGACATCGTTTTCTGTTGGTTACCAAGCCATGTTGGAATCAGTGGTAACACAATGGCCGATGCTGCTGCAAAAGCAGCACTCAACAAATCTGTGACACCACTTCTGATCCCATTCAGAGACATCAAACCTGTTATTAGATGTTACATCAGAGATCTAATGCAACAGAAGTGGGACACCCAAGTAGGTATCAATAAATTACATGAAATTAAACCAAATATCGGTTACACCTACTTGAGCTGTCAGTCCAGATTTGAAGAGGTCATTATGCGACGATGTCGTATTGGCCACAGCAGATATACGAAGAATATTTACTTAAAGGTGAGGATCCTCCGTTTTGTATCCCTTGTGATGAATGAATCACAGTCAAGCATGTCCGGCTTGACTGTGTTGATTTTTCCATCACAAGGAATAACTATTTCAAATCATCATCTCTTAAGGACCTTTACTAATATTAGTCCTCATTTAATTATTGAACTGATAAATAAATTTTGATGTACATAGTTGTTGTTTAAATTGAAAGTGTCTAATTGTGAACTGAGATTGTTATTGGCTGTGCCCTTGACGGGGGTTAAAGTACTGTAAAATTAGTGTCCCCCTGAGAGGGCATAGTATGTCCATATCATTCGAAGTACTTTATTCCTATCATACTTTTAATCGTAGAATATGTGTTCTTTTAAATTCGGCTGAATTTCCTAATCGTCGCCAACAACTGAAGGGATGATGTAAATCCTGCCGGGGTCCATGCAGGTAGCAAAGGTACTGTAAGTCCCCATTGTCCCCGGTATGGTGATCTACCTTCAGTTGCCGGCGATCTATTGCTCTTTTTTATAATGTATTGTTCTGTCTAGTGATGTAATTTTATGGTTCCATGCTAGTTTTAAATTATAATCTGTGATAGGTCTAGTTCTTTTACTGTCCCTTGTTGACAGGTTTTTATAGTTTACATGTATTTATTATGTATAACCTTTGAAAGTCACGATTAGCTGAAATATTGCCAATGTCACTTAGTTGTCACCCCAGCTTGATAATAGAATAAAAATCAAAACATCGCTATATGCAATACACCAGAAGTTGTTATAAAAAAGTTGTACGTTTTCCTTTTCTCAATTTTAGAAGAGTATCAAAATACACATTACAGGAACCGTGAAGATCCGGGTTAGAATAGGTCTTCAGCAACCCATGCTTGCCATAAAACGTGACTATGCTTGTCGTAAGAGGCGACTAACGGGATCGGGTGGTCAGGTTCGCTGACTAAGTTGATGCATGTCATCGTAGGGCGGCGTTAAACAACAAATATACCGTCGGTATTTATCTCCAGTAAACATACCTAAATAACACCGATCGGTTTGATACACAGTTCTTACCACTCTTTGCCCTCCTGGTTATAAGGGTACAAGGGAAAAGTCTTTGGAGATTTTGTATCAAACAACAAATAAACAAACACAACAAAAACACAAACCTTCAAATTAAAAAAAGTGTTTTATAAAAACACCCCCAATGTTTTTTCAAAAACGTGAAGTGGATTATGTTAATCTTTTTTCCCACACATTCACGAGAGAATCCAGCTGACGGAGTCACTGTCAAATTCATCCAGACAGAAGAGCAAACAACGCCTGGTGGTTATTTGGGATATCCATATGACCAACATCCAGTCTGTGGGGTCTCTTGTCACAACTTTCTGCTCAAATTTATTCATGCATTTATCCCTTGCATGTCCAGACTTACTGATGTACACACTTTATTAAGCGAATTTTCCCAATGTGACGAGCGCGTATAAGGCGCCGGAATTCACTATGAGTTGCGTCCCTTGAGCACGCCAGGAACCTATGTTCGTGGGTTCGAATCCCGGTTCGCCCTGATTACAGTTCCAGGTTTGTCAGCACCATACCCGTGCTCGTGGTTTTCACGAAAGTGGTAAACGTCTGAGACCTGCATCACTTCGGGCTTTCCTCCCACATCAAGCTGACGCGCCTTGATATAACTGAAATATTGTTAAAAGAGATGTTAAACCCAACTTACCCACTCACTATATTAACAATTATGGGACGTGTATGTATTCACATGTTCTGCTCACTCAGTATCTTTATTTCGGTTTAACGAAATCAATCTGATTTGCACGCCCCTAATTGAAGGAATTCGTATTTTGAATAGTATTACTAAATTAAAGCACAAATGTGTGGGTTTTTAGATGAGTAACAGACTAATTATCAGACTAGTAAATCACGCGTATAAATAAGTGAAACTGGCTGAATATAATACACTGCAAGATAAAAAAGGGTATTATTGTTGGGAAATATTTACAGCAAACATATTTCTCTTGGTTCATGTACACTTCAGTTGGAACCAGCTAATGTTCTCCATGCGTTCATGCCATGTAACAATATTGATAAATAATATTGATTTGCACCGTCTTCGCCGCGCGTCAAATATGCTCCTGACATCCATGTGTAACTTTGTCGTCTATATAGACATGCCGCAGGCGGATAAACTCACATCTTGGTATAAGTATTGTATCTGTGTGTCCTGTGTGGAGAGTTAATGATGTCACCGAATGATAGTATTACGTATTTGAAGAAGTAGGGTAAAAATAAAT